ATAGCACTTTGATAAAAGGCTTCAGAAATTGCTTGCTCAAGGAACAAAACTGGATAGGTTAGAAGGCATTAATGGTGGAAACTTGGGCTAGGTTGTCTCTATGCTCTACGACACTGGGGGTGGTAGAAGTGTTTGGGTTATGTGGAATCAGATGATTTTCTTTTCTTTTTTTTCCCTGTGAGAATGTTATCCTTGAATTCATGATTATATTGTAGGGAATTGTTATTCATCAAACAATATAAACACAGCAGCAATTGAAACGTCTGTAAATGGGGCTGATGTTAATTGGTTGATGACAGTGTATCTGGTCCTAGTAGAGACAAAAATGAGAATTACAGCAGAAGCTGCATTACATCAGACACGGAGGGACAGGATTCAAGTACATACATGCTGTTGTAGATGCCTCACCTCTCTCTCAAATGCTATTCGATTACCCCACGAATAAGAAAAGGGCAGTAGTTGGAGTAACAAGCACTGGAGTTTTTTGACCAAAACAAGCTAGTAGATCTAGCTCCTAAGACTAGCAGAAACATATACAGATAAGAACATAGGAACACATAAAGCCCAGCATTATCTAGACATGGATACAGATACAAGTATCCTATCGGACAAATCGATACATATATGCTATAGTTCATGTACTACACAAATTGTGAGATATAGTACTATTTACTTTTGTTATAATAATATATCGTACGATGTAATGCTGAATCGTTTATATTTATTATATTGGTGATATCATATTATATTTTATCATTTCTACTATATATTACATTGAAATTCCATACTCTATTCTAAGTTAAATCATATTGATATATTTTACTAAAAGAATAGTATAACTTGAGATACATCACATCATAGAGCATAGTCATCAATGTTCAAAAATGCAAATTCCGGCGCCTAGGTGTTTTGGGTGCCTGGCCGCCTAGGCAGCCGCCAAAGACAGGGTGCCCTCACCAAAATTGAACTCCCCTCCCACCCGTGCCCCAAACAAAAAAAATTGGGGAGTTCTTAGAGCATGGTTTTAAAGCTTTGGGAGTTTTTAGGGCAATTTTAGAACCCCAAACTCCTCGTGAAATATACAAAAATGTAATAGTACAATCACATAACAGATTTACGGATACAAGTCTCAAAGAGATTGTAACTTGTAAGGCATTAAAATGCCTGAAATCCCAAATATCATTGTAGGAAACTAGAAGTCTAGACTAAAAACGATACACCAAGTCAACATGACAAAATCAAAAAACAAATATATCAAGTCATCAACCAAACATGTAAATATATCAAAAAAAAAAAAAAGTAAAAGAAAAAACACATCATTCTCAACATAATATGTTGTAGCAAAATAAAATCAAAACCCTCTTTCAAATATGATAATACTTTAAAAATATCAAAATCAAATCGATGTCAGTGCAAACTTCACTTATTGGTTCGCCAAAAGTCCTCAAAATCAACTACTAGAAGCTCTAAATCCACCCACAAAGTATTGCTTTTGTTTTGGGAAGAAATCACAAAAATCAAAACTTTATCGATTTTTCGATAAATCACAAAAGGGTAGTTTTTTGGGGAGGTTTTCTCATCCTAAAAGCCACAGTTTTTGTTTTGGGGGTTTAGAATGCCTCCTAAAACCCTTTTCCCCCCTTTTTAGGGGGAAAAATGACATTTTTTTTACCCTCGCTGAGGGTTTCTTTCGCACTTCCGCAAACTGTCACTGGACAACGCCTAGGCGGGCTCCCAGACTGTAGCGCCTAGGCGGCACCTTGCTGGAAACAGGGCGCATAATTCCACCTCCCAGACAGCGCCTAGGCGTTTTTTGAAATTTTTCACCTAGGCCAGCCAAATTTTCTAACTGATAGTCATTATAGTTAAACTATATTTTCATACATATCAAGTATTTGTTATAGGTAACGATGTCGTATCATGTTCACACCCATGTGCTAAGAATATACAAGTATTACGCATATAGGTGGAGCACACACCCACACGATAAAATTCCTTTTAGCAGTTTTACACATGTTAGGTTTTCTATGGATGCATTAGATTGTCAGTTATTGGTAATAATGCCATACAGTTTTACACATGTAAATGTCAAGTATTGGTAATAATGCCATACAAGATACCAAATATTTGTACTAAACTGCCTTAGGCAACATGTAATTAAACATAAACCAACAACAAGGCCAATCGGACCAGCTCAAAAAAAAAAAACAGCTAATTTTCTAATAAACTTAAAGAAAGCTTAGTAAATTTGCTTAAAAAATATAAAATAACCAGTCCAGACTTGGAGCCCATTTCTCCCAACCTATGGACCAGTATAGTGATATTTCAAACAAGTATGATCAAATAGCATCAGAGATAGCTAAACTTACAAAAACATTTTTGTGGTAATATTGGATATTTACCGCAATTTAGTAAATATTATCCGTGAACACAAACTTGATTGTACAAACAAAATTAATAGCTACCAATTTATCTCGTAGCAGAGAACAAATGAAAAAATCGCTGAATGCATTGGAATGGGAACAATGACCAAATAGAAGGAACATGTCACTAGGGCTTGCAAAGACTCATTTAGATCATAAAAACTTCTTCAATAGTGCCTATCCACATATCAAGAAATCATAATCTCATTTACCATTAATAGCAGAAGGTCATGTTCCCCAAATGAAAAAATATGAATGTGAAAATCAAAAATATTATGAATCATCAAATAGATATGCCTATGTCTGTGTGTGACTGTGGAAAGCCTTGAACCTGTTGGAAATAAAAGGAATATTATTGCATTTGATGAACAGAACTTCCATTTATCTTTTGTTTAATCCTTGTTTGTCTTATATCTCTAAATACGGGTAGTGTTGGTTGCATGGGGTCTCACTGCAGTTTACTATACATCGTGGTGGACATAAATTCCCATATAACAGGGACCAATATTAGGGGATCTGGAGGCACGAGATGCTCTCGCTTTCTTCGAAGTGTTAAACAGCCCAACCTCGACAAAATTCCGAGGTGCAAACGGTCTCGATAAGCACACTCTCAAGATACAGCCAAATCGGAATACAAACCCTGAGTCCTTGAGTTGCACACTCATTAGACCCATACAAAACCACAGTATCAAAAAACTGATATATGTTTCCAATTAGTATAATACCACAAACATCCATTGAAAACAAAAATATCTCTCAATACAATAATCATCATCCAATCGGTATAAAACAAATATCAATTAGGATGGCAAACTTCTCTCTCTCTCTACAAAATTTACCATCCAATCGGTATACTATAATAAAATATAACAGTACATATTACCTAAAAAGTGCGTGAGGCTCTAGTGCTACTCATGGAGAGAGACATCAAAAACTCATAACGAGAGAGAGAGAGAACGTCTTGCTTCCAAGTAACAAGAAGCCCTTCCTGTTAACTGAGCCCGTAAAGGGCTTGAGAGAGAATTCAATTATATGAGAGGGAGAGGCAAACATTTTGTAACACCTCATGAGAAGGTGTCAATAAAACAACAAAAGGGGTGCAAAAAATGCCTGGTAAATACAACCACCTTAATGTAAAAACAAGGAAAAAAGATGGTCCTATAAAAATACTCCGGCAAGAATTTAGTTGTTTTGAAACACTTTTCTAGTAAAACGCTAACAGGCAGTATTGTCCATAACTTGTAATTTGGATTATTACTTAACATTATAAAAGGGGTACAGGTCATATGTGACCTCTAAGTCACTCACTTTCCCTCTCTCTATCTGTCTCTCTCTCACTCAACTCTCTCCCTTCTTCTTCTTTTTCATCATCTATATTTTCTTTCATCTCTTTCTCTCTCTAGATCCTACCAAACTGTTTCCTTGTCTACTTTAACTTCAACTTCAACTGAACCACACAATGATTCAATTTTAGACTAATCAACCATGACCAACTGGAATTATGGATTCAAGAAAAGACACAATTAGCCAGCAATTTAAAGAATGGTATAAAAGCCAAAAAGGAAAAACTACAGGCAAGGGCAGAGATTTGGATTAGTACTCCGAAGACGAATAAATAGATAAATTACAGAATGCTTATACCTAAAAGATCAAGATGGTAGGGCACCAAAAAGCGGCACAGACTCAAACACAGTGAGGTTCCTGAACCATTTCTGAACTAAGGACTACAAAGCCAAAATCTGAAAAAGTTCTCTTTTGAATAAACTCACATTTACTATGCAAATAACTTTGACATTATGGAAATATGCATAGCATACTAAAACATGATCTTGATGGCACAAGACTGCGATTGCAGATTTTCTCCTCATTACAAAATATTATTCATCACATATATCAGATAGATATGTGTGTGTCAGTGTGTGTCTGTGGAAAGCCTTGAACCACACAATAATTGAATTTTATGCTAATCAACCATGACCAATTGGAAACATGGATTACATAATTTGCAGCAATGTTAAAGGATGGTATAAAAGCCTAATAAGACAAAATTACGGGGAAATGCAGAGATTTGGAGTTCAACTCCCGAAGAAGAATAAATAGATAACTTACAGAATCCTTATATCTAAGAGATCAAGATGGCGTAGCACCAAAAAGTAGCATAGACTCAAACATTGTGAGCTTCCTGAACTGAGGACTCTACAAAGCCAAGATCTGAAGATTCCTTTTTGAATAACCTCACATCTACTAGCAAATAACTTGACATTTAGGTAATATGCATAGCATACTAAAACATGATCTTAATGGCACGAGACTCTGATAGCAGATTTTCTCCTCATTACAAAATATTATTCATCATTCATAGATATATAGATAGATATGCATCTCTCTCTCTCTCTCTCTCTAGATATAGATATATATATATATATGGAAAGCCTTGAAGCACAAAATAATTGAACTTTATGTGCTAATCAATCATGACCAATTGTAATTATGGATTTAAGAAAAGACACAATTAGCCAGCAATGTAAAGGATGGTATAAAAGCCAAATTGGACAAAACTACAGACGAAGGCAGAGATTTAGAGTTGTTAACTCCAGTCTCCCGAAGACAGATTTTTCATAATCAAATAAAGAGATAAATTACAGAATGCTTATACCTAAAAGATCAAAATGGTGTAGCACCAAAAAACAGCATAGAATCAAACACAGTGAGCTTCCAGAACTAAGGACAATACAAAGCCATGATCTGAAAAAGTTCTCTTTTGAATAAACTCACATCTACTACGCAAATAACTTAACATTTTGGTAATATACATAGCATACTAAAAGATGATCTCGATGGCACGAGACTGTGATAGCAGATTTTCTTCTCATTACAAAATATTATTCATCACTTTTACCTCTCCGGTCACCAACTTTTCCTTTATCTTGCAACAATAAGTTCCTCTTGATCGGGACCAGAAGCATCTGTTACTACTAGTATCTCGTCATCCACCGTGAAGTGGTACTTCTCACCAATAGCCCTTAGTAGATGATACACTTCAAACATTGAAGGCCTCTCCTTTGGAGTTTGCCCCACACATGAGCAGGCCACTTGTAGAAACTGGAGGAGCTCATCATCAATGCCCTTCCCAATCAAGGACTTATCAATACATTCCTCCAAACAAGAGTTGCCTGAAAGGTGAATAACATACTCCACCAAGCTCCCTTTAAAGCTTTCTAGGGCATTTACCACATGAGTAGGTTTTTCCCCAGAAACTAACTCAAGCAAAACCGTTCCAAAGCTGTAGACATCTCCCTTTGGAGTAGCGACAAGAGTGCGTGCATACTCTGGTGCCACATAACCCAAGTCACCGAATTCACCATTAACGAAAGTACTGAGGTGGGTGTCGATAGGATTCATAAGACGAGCAAGCCCAAATTCTGAGATTTTGGGTTCAAAATCTTCATCAAGTAGGATACATTTGGAGCTTATATTGCGATGAATTACACGAGGGTTACAGGTATGGTGAAGCCAAGCCAATCCTTTTGCTGCCCCAATTGAGATTCTAAGCCGTGTAGGCCAATCCATAATCTCAGATTCACTTTTAAACTCATGCAGTCGTTGAAATAGAGTGCCATTTGGCATGTGTTTGTATACCAAAAGCCTCTCCCTTTTTGCAATGCAAAAACCAAGAAGAGGAACCAAATTATCGTGCCTTAAGCTCCCAAGTGTATTCATCTCGGATTTAAATTCCTTCTCAGTGTGCTGAGATTCCTCCAACCTTTTAACCACCAAGAATGAACCATCTGGAAGCGTTGCTTTGTACATGGTGCCTGTCCTTCCAGTGCCTATGATGTTATCTTTGCTGAAATTGTTGGTGGCCTTCATAAGATTGTCAAACCTCATTTTTGAAGCAGTTTTCTCAAACATAGAAACCTGAAGAATAAAAAAGAACATGTTCGGGGTTGAGTATACATCATGTTCATTAGCAACTGTTTCACAACAAATGGAACTTAATTGAGGTTACTTTTGATACTAAATTTGCATTTAAAACAAATGCTTTCTCGGAAAAGTAATCACAGTGATAATATCAAACTGAATTGGAGAAGGATGTTTTAACTAGGCCACGGTTCAATCACTAAGGAATTGCAGAAAAGGAGATCACCCATCTCATAAACCCCAATCAACCACTCAATTACTGGTATTTTCAGAAAACAAAATAGATAAATTTCAAACTAAATTCAACCCTAGAACAAACCAACTTAGAGAAGCATGCTAGGCCATGACTCCAAAAAACAAGAATACAAGTACTTCTTAAACAAAACGAAAAGAAACCACAAACCTTAATGGCTTTCTTTCCCTTGATCCTCTTCGCCCACCTGTTATTCTCAGTATCCACCACCTTCTTCTTCGGGATTCTACGAAGATATCCAAACCACAGAGCAAGAGCAAGAAACAAAATTAGAACACAACCACCAATAGCTGGCCCAACAATGAGCCCAATAGAGGTCTTCTTCTGAGTACTCGGGCAAGTCACTGATAATGGACGCCCACAAAGCCCTGGATTGTTTGCAAAAGAAACAGATCTTTGATTACTAAAAATAGAGGGAATTGGACCAGTGAGCTTATTCGAGGAGACCTCAAAAGTTTTTAGCCTAGACAAGGTACCAAGTTGAGCAGGAATTTCACCAGAGAACTGATTTTCAGAGAGCTTAATGATGTTCAGGTAAGTACAATTCGCGAGGCTTACTGGTATTTGACCAGAAAAGTCATTAGAAGAGAGATCAATAGTGGTCACCATTTTAATCTCCTGTGATATATCAGTAGGCAAGGTACCAGAGAGACCATTATTAGATAGATCAAGCCCAGTCATGCTTGTGCAATTCCGTAAGCCTTGAGGGAACTGGCCCTGAAGGCCAAGCCCTGAGAGCCTTATGTTGAGGACCTTGTTGTCGTCCGCGTGCCAACACTCGACGCCCAAGAACGAGCAGATGGAGCCTTTGGAGTTGTTGTTGAAGTTCCAGGAAGAAGAGAGGTACTGGAATGGGTCTTTAAGAGAAGTTTTCAGGTCTCTGAGGCACTGTATATCGGTCTCCTCGCCATGGCTAAAGACCCAAGTTTGCAGAAGAATCCCTAGAAAGAGAAACATGGAAGGACTCGCAGAGATCAGCATCTCTCTCTCTCTAACAAACCTAAATATGGATTCAGGGAGAAGAATCCCCAACAACAATTCTCTCTGTCTTTCTCAGTCCCTCTGTTACTAAATCTACAACAAACCCCAATTTCTGAAAACAAACCCCAATTTCTGAAACTGTGTGAAATGAATGATGCCTCCACCCAGTTTTCAAGACCCAATCGAAGTCATCAACCAAAGTCTTCCCCAGTTTCCAACCCAATTTTCAACAGAAACCCATTGGAAAGAGAGAGAAAGAGAGTTGAGGTCTTCACCTTTCTACATTTTCTTTTTTACTCCTCCAAGCCGACATCATGGAAAAGAACAGGAGAGTGAGAATGTGGGTTTTGAAGATTGATTGGAAAATGAGTCTTCTGTACCCCATGGCCTCCCCTCTCGTCAAAGAACCCTAGAGAGAGAAAGAGGCTCTAGAGAGACAAAGGTAGCACATCATACTGTACCAACGAACCGGCCCACCCACAATTTACCTAACCTTTTACCTTAGTTTTAAGGTTGTGGAAGAAGGAGATATTTTAAAAGGTTTGGAGGTAGAGAGAGGAGAGAGAAAGACCGTTGAATTAAAATTGTAAAAAACAATTCTATAGAGCCGATGCTCTAAACAATCGAATTAAAACGAGCCCACGTCAAAATTCTCGTCTCTCAAACTCATCATCTCGCCATCAAGATGTATGGACAAAAAAAAAAATGGATTTTATGTTTTAAAAATAGAACGTCTTATAACGTATTTTTAAACCGTTAATTTTTAATATTACCAAATTTTTATAAATTCGTTTGATTTATATTATTTCTTAAATTTTAAATTTTATAATTAAATATAAAAATATATTTTAAAGCTGTCACAAACATTTTTAGCATTAAAACCACATTCTTGTATGCTATTTAAAAGAGCTATACTTTGATTGTTTAGAGCCTGAGGTTCATACCAACTGCACTTAAAATTTGGAGGCATAGTGAAGAGAGAGAAAGAGAGAGTTACAGTATTGGTTACTGCGTTTGTTATAAGTTGTAGAGAGCGAGAGAGAGAGTCAAGGCCAAAAGATGGAGTCTTCCTTGTTAGGGATGCGACGACGACTTTATTGGCTTCACACAATTTACGCGGATTTGCTTTCTCACTCTTTATTCTCTCTCCTCTCCTATTTCGTTTTTTGTGATGATTAGGGCCGGCTGCCTTGCATGCCCCATGACTCATTTTCCGATCTTCAAAACCCATATTTACACTCTCCTGTTCTTTCCATGATGGGTTTCGGCAACGGGTTGGGTATTGAGTCTGGACCTAGACCTGAACTTGAAATGTATTATATATCAGGATACGGACCTGGACCTGGACCTGGACCCGGACCCGGACCCGGACCCACTGGACATACTCATACTCGTAACGGAGGAACAATTTTGGAGAGTAAAAACGAAAATGAAAAAAATTGATGGCTTCTCTCTCTTTCACACAATTTATCGATCTTCATTCTCTCCCGTATTTGATTTTTGGGTTGGTAGGGCACGCAACGGGCCGGCCATGCCAGAGGCCTAGCCCGGTCCTAATTCCACTCGAACGGTCATTAGCCGAATTGTTTTTCAAGTCAAAGTGGACTTGGGTGAGCCTAATAGGATACCTAAAAAATTTAAAAAAAATTAAATACGAAAGGGACCGATGAGAGCTACAGTTTTGTAGCCGAGGCCTTAATTTTCTATGGTTGGGCCCAGTGGGCCGGTCAGGCCACATGCCCATGCCAACCCGAGTAGCGATGAAACTTATTAGGTCAGCAAATCATAAATGCGGAAGTCAATCGAAGGAGTCCTTTTTGTCCTCTATTATTTTTATAGAATCACGTGATTCATCGCCGTTCAGTGAATGAATGGATGGTACGATGATAGTGTGAGGCCCACGCAGAAAAGTGGCTAGGATTAGAAATTCATGCCCCTAGAGAGACGTTAGTTTATTTGACCCTTATAAAATAGGACTGATTTAAGCTCAAGTCCCCACCAACGGGGTTGTCACGGAATTTTTATAAATTTTTGCTTTTTATATTTATTCACATTTTTTATTTTTTATTTCAAACTATCGTGGCTTCAAGGCTGTCACAATTTTGTAGCTTCAAATCTTGAAGAACATAGGAATTGTGCTTGAGCTTTAGTTTTTTGTTTTATTTTGGGTAAGCCATTAGAGGAGAAAGCCCTTATCTGTTTTTCATTAATATTATAAAATAGAGAAGATTTCAGCTCCTTTCTTTACAATCCTATAACATGTCACATGTGGCAAATCATGAAGTAAAGCAAGAGAAATACAGTCTGACAGACAAGAATGTCAAATAGTGACTGGTAAATGAGATGTGGCCTTCTTCTTAAAAATATTAGGTATCACGTTGGCTTCACGAAAAATGTGGGTGATGTACCACCCATGATTTAAAAGTCATTGACAATTCGCTGCAATCATGAATAACTTCTAAGAAGACCGACAATATTCATGAATAACATTAACGAGCAATGTTGAGTCCCTTTCAATTTGAAGAAAGAAACACTTTAACTGAATGGCTAGAATTAATCATTCCTCAAGAATAGAGAACTTTACATAATTATTAGAAGCAATTCCAAAATGTTTTGAAAAAACTGCAATAAAACCACTAGCACAGTCTCTAATAACACTACCCTCACCTGCTCGACCTGGATTATGCAAGGAAGCATCATCAATGATAAGCTTGAAATAGTTAGGGCAAGGAAATGACCACGCCATCGAAATATTACACTGGTCTATATGTTGATACCAATTGAATTGTAGGTTGTCAATAATTGCTTTTTCTTACACATAAAATATCCAGGATTTAGCATTAGTTAACTCCCGAACATAAAAAATGATTTGTCGAAGTAATTCTTCCCTCATGATTAACCCGGATTGGAAGACTCTTCGATTACCTCTGCCCATAAAACCAAATAATTGAAAAATTGAGCAGTTAGTTGCTCACAATTGGAACATTACATCCTCAGTTTATTCCCATAGTGAATACCAAAAAAAAAGGACCTTGAAGAACAAAAGTTAAGACTTGAATTCTTGTACTTGAAGGTCCTAAGCTACTTATCTTCCCACCTTTAAAGTCTAAAGTGGACACAATAATATGAAGGACTTTGATTACTAAACTTAGTGGATTTGGTAGAAATAACACAACTTGAAGGAAAATAAAACCCTATTTAGAAAATATTAAGTATCTTAGTTTGGTCAAATCATCAAGTTATATTTTTATGATTAGCAACATTATTTTTATTTTTATTTAATTTTAAAAACACATATTTTAATTTTAGTTGTAGAGTTTATTTTTGGCCTTTTTGAATTTTTTTTAGGGATTTTGAGAATTGTTTTATAGTTTTTTATTTTCTATATGGTTACTATTTACAAGTTTTGTTTATAGGTATTGTTCATGGGTAACTATTCATATGGATATTTTTGGAATTTTTAATATTATTTAAAGGTTTTTTAGACTTATGATTAAGTTAAGAATTTTTTTAATTATTTTGATTATTGTATAGAGTATTAATGCCCTCGAACATAAATAAGCATCCTTCTCTTTTTGGAGTACAAACTCTATCCTACCTAAGAAGATGTAATTTTTTATCCTTTACAAACAAATACCCAAAGAAAATTTCGCATCATTCTCTCTAGTTTTTTTGACACACTTATTGGCATTTTAATCAAGGACATTTAGTAGATTGGTAGATTTGTCAAGCAAGACTGCAATAGAGTAACACTACCTCCTAACGACAAGTATTTTGGTTTCCATAAATCCAATTTAACTTGAACCCACTGAAGAACCTTATCCCAAACTGAGATAATCCATCTACTATCCAATATAAGAGGAAACCCTGGATTTCTCCAAGTATTTGCATGTATTTGGCTTGAAAATCTTGTTGTTTTTACTATTCTTTAAATTTCCCTTCATAAACTTTGTATCAAGGCTCCACTTTTCTTCAATAATAAGGCCACAAAATTATAGTCAAGTTTGTTGATTTAGGGCCAAATTTTGCAAATGGAACCTAGATCTTGCTAACTTTGACGAGGTTTTGGCCTTTCTTTGCCTAGGATTATGACTTCAGTGAACCTTGGGATGAAGAAATTAAGAAATTTAAAAGATAGGCTCCATAACTTACACAACAGTTCAGAAGAATCATTCATGGCCCAAAAGGTGATCTTTCGACTTAAGAAGATGTCGACTACAACCCTTTTCACCTCTATGCTTTGTGTAACGAGTCGAGTAAAGAGAAAAATGTTAGAAGACCTGAATATGAAGAATATCACTATAGGGTTTTCGATTTAAATGATACATTCTTGATTTTGATACAGGTTGTATTCAAAATTTTGTACTCACTTAGATGAAAAACAAGATCTTTTACGAGATCCTATCTATGATGATAAATAAGATTTCATGGTTGAACCTATCTTTGATGAAAAGAAGATGTAGGAGTCCAAGGAGAATCAAAAGGTAAAAATATTAATTCAGTCATCAAATCTTATGAGCATCTTGAAAATGCACTCGTGATATAGGGCTAAGCCTAAGCAATTTCTACAAGATTTATGATGGAGGACAAAAGTTTTCTTATTTTGTATTTTTAGTCAATTTCAATGATGTATATAGTAGCTTTAGATTTAGGTTTTATTTCTAGGGTTTTAGGATTTCTAAGGTTTTTATTTTTTATTTTTTATTTTTATTTTTTTATTTTTATTATTCACGCATTACTATTCACGTGTTAGTGTTCACATGTTACTATTCATGCGTTATTATTCACGTTTTATTGGTCATTGGGGTATTTTTGGAATTTTGGCATTGTTTTAGGGGTATGTTTGAGTATTAAATATTTACTTGAATATCACGTTAAATTAGGGTTTAATAGGCTTACAAAAGATTGGATGTCATAGTTTGGAGTAAATATTATTGAAATAAATTTTATTTTATGAAATAAGAAAGTTCTTCTTCTTTTGGCTTGATTTACAGCCATGTTATTTATCTCTTCTTGCTGATTTTACTTGTTTAAGGTTCAAGATAACGGTGGATTCAATGTCCCATCGTTCTCCCTACATCAAGTAGTATAATGATGGAGGGAAAAAATCGCTTTATTTTGTATTTTTATTCAATTTCAATGATGTATATTGTACTTTTAAATTTAGGTTTTATTTATAGGATTTTTAGGATTTCTAGGGCTTTTATTTTTTTATTTACTATTCATGTGTTACTGTTCACATGTTACTATTCTCACGTTATTGTTCATGTTTTACTATTCACAGACGTATTTTTAGAATTTTGGTATTGTTTTAAGGATATATTAGATTAATAAATATTTACTCGAATCTCAAGTTAAATTAGAGTTTCATAGGTTCATAAAATGTTGGATATTATAGTTTAGAGCATATGTTATTGGAATAAATTTTATTTTATGAAAAAAAGAAGTTATTCTTCTCTTGGCTTGATTTACAACCATGTTCT